GGCCGCGAGCGCTACTTTTTGCTGGTTGTTGACGACTACCCGCGTTACACCACGGTCTTCCCCTTGCGCGGCAAGGGGGAGGTCCCTGGTGTTTTGATCCCATGGATCCGCGCTGTCCGTCTCCAGCTCCGCGAGTGGTTCCGCGAGGACCTTCCTATCCTGCGTCTGCACTCTGACAGAGGTGGTGAGTTCGCCTCCGACCTCTTGCGGGACTTTTGTCGTGGGGAGGGCATTCGCCAGTCGTTCTCGCTTTCGGCCTCTCCGCAGCAGAATGGGGTTGCTGAGCGCCGCATTGGCTTAGTCATGGAGGTCGCTCGTACCTCCATGATCCATGCGGCTACTCCCCATTTTCTGTGGCCATTTGCGGTCCGGTACGCTGCGCATCAGCTCAACCTCTGGCCTCGTGTCTCCTTGCCGGAGACCTCGCCTACACTGCGTTGGACGGGGGAGAATGGCGATGCCTCGGTGTTCCGGGTCTGGGGATTTCGTGCCTTGTCTGCGATTCCTCCGCGGACAAGCTCTCCTCCCGCGCCATTCCCAGTGTCTTCCTTGGCTTTCCCCCTGACGCGCCTGGCTGGCAGTTTTACCACCCCACCTCGCGCTGTGTCCTGCCCTCTCAGGACGTCACGTTTGACGAGTCGGTTCCCTTTTACCGTCTCTTCCCCTACCGCACTGCCCCTCTCCCCCCCCCGCCGCTCTTCCTCGCACCAGGTCCTCCTCCGGTAGACCCACTTCCCCCTCAGGGTCCTGCTCCCTCAGGTGTGTCTCAGGTAGACCCTGTCGAGGTCGCTGTCGACTCTGGTGCTGCTGGGGGTGGTGCTACTAGGGGTGCTGCGTCTGGGGGTGTTGAGCCTGAGCGTGCAGAGCCTGGGGGTGCTGAGCCTGGGGGTGCTGAGCCTGAGCGTGCGGAGCCTGGGGGTGCTGAGTCTGGGGTTGCTGAGTCTGAGGGTGCGGAGCCTGGGGCTGCTGAGCCTGAGCGTGCGGAGCCTGGGGGTGCTGAGCCTGGGGGTGCTGAGCCTGAGCGTGCTGAGCCTGGAGGTACTTTGTCTGCTGGAGGTCCTACGGGTGCCTCGTCACGGCGGGAGCCTCTCTCTCCACCGCAGCTGCGCGAGTGGTTTGCTCGGCACTGGTGCCTTCGGAGTGGCGCTGCTGGAGCTGGGGGGCCTGCCGCTGGAGGCCCTGGAGCTGGAGGCACTGGAGCTGCTGATCCTGGAGGTACTGGAGCTGCTGGTCCCGGAGGTGCTCGTACTGGAGGTACTGGAGCTGCTGGAACCGGTGGTACTGCAGGCGCTGGAGCTGGAGACCCTGGAGCTGGAGGCGCTGGAGCTAGAGGTATCGGAGGTGCTGGAGCTGCTGGTCCTGGAGGTGCTGGATGTGCTGGAGCCGCTGGTCCCGGAGGTGCTCGTACTGCAGGTACTGGAGCTGCTGGAGCTGGAGGTGCTGCAGGCGTTGGAGCTGGAGGCGCTGGAGCTGGAGGTAGCGGAGGTGCTGGAGCTGCTGGTCCTGGAGCTGATGGAGGTGGTGGAGCCGCTGGTCCCGGAGGTGCTCATACTGGAGTCCTGTGATCAATATATATATACATGCATGCCTACACTTTTCTAGGTTGTGATCACTGTACTGCTTGTTCCCATTTATATAACTCTGCATGTGAACTGGCCTTGTGGCCATTTGCTTGTGCTCAGAGTGTGTGGTGACTTCGTGATCCATCCTGAGCTTGCTTTGCTTTTCTTGACTGGTCTTGTGACCCCTTGTTCTCCCCCACTTTGCCTATGGGGGTGTGTCAAACTGTTATATCATTTTGTAGGCTGTAGTGGGGTAGCCCTTTTGGGGTACAACCCAAATTAGGGTTAGTACTTGTATCACTTTCTTTCTCAATGCAGTCATTCCTGCTCGTTAGTTTCTGACATAATCTACTTTTCAGCGCCGTTTCAAATCCTTCCCATGTCGTTGGAACCGTGGTAACACCCAAAGCTAAACTTCCCAAGCTCGAAGTTGCAGCTGCATGCTCCTCGCCCTGTTGATGCCCGTCTAACTGAGCTCTCCTTACAGCAGTTTGCGTGAGTTGGCGCCACCACTCCAAAGCCGGGCCCCTCAACAGCTTAACGAAGTACTCGATCCGTTACTGTGCGTCCGCCTCTTGCACCTCGCGGCGAAGTAGTTGTTCAGCATGAAGATCCACGTCCGCACGTTCGCATCGCGTTGACTTGGGTCGAACGGCTCGGGCTTCTGCGGCTTGAGCGCGCTTCGACGTTCTGGCAGCGCTTCCGTGCCAATCCACGTGTTCGGTACAGGAGATAGTGCGGCATGACCAAGAGGAATAGACGCGAATTCACGAAGCTGTTGCATTTCAGCCCGTACCTGACGATTTTCCAGCGTCAACGTTTCGAGTTGGCGCATGAGTTGAGCAAGCGTGTTGCCCATGTCGTTGGGGAGAGCGTTCATGGTTTCATCCATGTCGGCTCGACGACTCCAAGTCTGCAAGTCGGCACCGCGGGACGATGACGTCGTAGTCTCGTCGTCGACGGTCGCTCGTTGGAAGTCGCCCCCCACGAAGGCTCCTGATACCAAGTGTTAGGCCCCTTAGCCTAAATTCGCTAAAGAATAGCGGGGTCGACTAAGTCGAGGATGAAAACGCGGCGGAAGACTTTGGCGAAAGAACTATTGGCGAAATAGGCGAAGGAGTTACTGAGTAATTGAAGAGTTGAATGAGAATTGGTTGATATTGGGGAATACAAGCAAGGTTGATATAGCATGCAAGATCGAATGATGGAAAGTACTTCGTGGGACTAGCAAGAAAAGTAGAGTGCCACGTGGCACAAGGAAATAAAGGAAGATAAGGATAAGGGTGAGTTGGAAAGTACTGTTCAAAGGGAACAATAAATCCCCCCTTAACATAGACGCCCCTTCTACATAGGTCTTCATATCGTTTGGGCCACAATTGACCTCCAACCATCTCCGCAACGCCAAGTGGGCAGACGAGTTTAGTTCATATGCCGCACTTTTAGGACCCCATTTTACAAACGCACATTTGGGAATCTCAGCTCCATTCCCACAATTGTTGTGCAGCCCTGCCCAGTGATCGGCTGCCACTAAGAGCTCGTGCGCAACAGCAGTTGCCGATGGTGCGTGGCCAGCTGCTGCTTTGGTTGAGTTGCGGAGCATCACATGGTTACAATGTGTGCCCCAACGTTGTGCCAACGCCACCTTGTCATAATCCGCATCATCGTCAGCGTCGATTGCAAACGCCACACGCTTTTGCTTCCTACTGCCTCGCTCTGTCCATTGCCTTACAGCCACATCATCATCCTGCTGAGGGTTCAAGGTTGGTACGGGCGTTTGAGAGTTTTGCATCCCCTCTTCGCTAGCATCATCCCGCGATTCCACAACATCTGTAAGCACCGAGAAATGACACAACAATTGGTGTGTTCCTTGATACATACATACATGCAATTTAAGACTCACGAAGTGCAAATCTTGCACTTCGTCGCCCAAAACCTCTTCGCCTGCCTCTTCCCCCACCATTGCATCGGCTGCCATTCGTATAGAATTTGCGTGTGTCGACGTTGGAACGCCATGTGTCGGGTGTGGGTCGAATTCCCAACGTTGTTGCACGCCTGCCCATCCGATATCAATCACAGGATGCGAAACACCTTCCAAGCTATTCTGGCTTCCCGCAATCCTTGTTTGCAGTAATTCCCACTGGCATAGGCTTGAACTGTCGTGGGTCTCTTGTAGGGACATATTTCAGGGCTGAAATTGGTTGGATGCTTTCATCACATGCTGCAAGTACAGGTATGTCCACGTCGCTCGTCGGTTGCGCAGACCATTGTCTCAAACATCTACTTTCTTGGGACCCTCCTTCCGCTACCCTTTGGCGCCTGGTCAAGGAACCACGTGTTGCTGGTCGTTGCTCCTTGACCCGTAATACCCTTCTCAATTCTGGGTACAGCCATATTGAGGTGGGGACTGCCTTTGGGTCGTACTCAAACCTGCCCAGGCTTCCACACACAGCTTCAATGGTTGTTGGCTTCGCCGTCGTTGCACTTAAATCTTCTCCTCCCCCGCCTTGTTGTTTAATGAATGCCAATAGTGATGCTCTTCAGCACAACCAAAGATCTCCGGTGCAATTTGCATCAAGTACCTTCATTGGTGGTCGTTGCGCATCAACCAAATCCTTTATGAACTTGCGTATCAGGGCTCTGGCCTTATGCCAAACATCTTTCTGATGTGCAATGCCTAAGCCCTCAATGCCAGCTTTGAACGAACCTTCATCACCGGAAATTATTTCTTCCTCACGGAATCCAATCACCCTTAACTGCCGGAGACCATCTTCAAAGGCACGCAACTCCGATGCTGTTGAAAATACCTTCTCAATCGCCTTCCATTTGGTCTCAGAGAGCATGCCCTTGCAGGTGATTGGGACAATGAATGACACCGTGCACCGTTCGGCCTCATGTGGATGAGACCATCGTCCATCCACGCACAACATCTTCCCTGGAATGTCTCTCTTGCTCATTTCCAAACGCACCCTAGCCATCGACATCTCTGCCGCCTCCTCTATTGCCTTCCACAATCCTAGCGGCCCTCTCATGTACCTATAGAACGTCTCCTTTCCAATAATAGGGATTTCGAGGAAGCGGGAAACTTCCCAGTGTTGTTGGTAACCGATTCCAGCCAAGACAAATGAAGCTAGAAACTTGGGCAACGCTCCCATAAGCCAAGCCATATCTTCTTGTTTGAGGTACTCTTATGTTTTTATTGACGTGACGTCATCTCATGGTACACCTATGACCCAGTTTAAACTTGTGGCCCCATACCTGCTAGTGTTGTGGCCTCAAGCATCTTGGACACTGCCTCCCCCGCCTCCAATGCAAGCACACAGATCACATCATTAACACTTGCAACACATTCTCCTCTTCTCGGTGCAGTCAATCCACAACGCATTAGTGCCATGGGTATCAGCATGTGGTTTTCCAATGGTCACGTTTCGTTGCATTATCATGCCCATGATAGGCTTGAAACACGGTGGTGTAGGGTCGCAGATTGGCCTCGATGAATTGGGTGCATCTCTCTCCACTTTTGCCTAATGTGGCAGAATGGAAAGGGTTGAGCAGGGAGAGGAATTTTGGTAAGTGATGCTTCACATGTCGACATCTGATGGATTAGCGGCTGTGAGCGTGAACGAACGGCGAGCGGCGAGCGGCGAGCGGCGGTGAGTGGCGAGCAGTGCGGGTGGCGAGTGGCCAGGGGCTAGCGGCGTGGGCAGTGAGTGGCAGTGGGCGGCGAGTGGCGGTGGGCGGCGAGTGGCGGTGGGCGGCGAGTGGCGGTGGGCGGCGAGTGGCGGTGGGCGGCGAGTGGCGGTGGGCGGCGAGTGGCGGTGGACAGCGAGTGGCGGTGGGCGGCGAGTGGCGGGGGGCTCGGCTGCCGCGATGGAGAGCGATGCTTGCGTCGAGAAGTTTCTCGTCTACGAGAATCAAGCAGTGCGTGCCGCCCGCCCGTTGCGGCAAGGCTTGTTGCGCTGCATGCGCTTGGAGGCAGAATTATGCATGGGATGGTGTGCGCGGCATGGTGTGCGCGGCATGGTGTGCGTCTGAGCGCGTTGAAGGGGTCTTTGGGAGGGGGCGATTCAAGGGGTTGAGTGCGCGCGAATGATTGGTGGTTGCCACGTGCATGCTAGTCATTCACACGATGCCACTCACAACCACTTCAACCCGCTTCCGCTCCCAGTCTTGCTCTCTCCCCTCTCCCTCCCCCACCCTCTCCCCACTCCCCCTCTACTCCATTTCTTTCCCATCTCCCCTTCCTTTCATCGCTTGTACATAGCTGGTAGGGGCAAGAACAAGGATCAAAAGCGTTTTGCATCCATTTAAGACATACCCGTTTGATCCCTCCCCCCTCCTTTACCATTCCCCCCTCCTTCCCACCTTTCAGTGCTTCTACATAGTGCGTAGGGGCAAGAACAAAAATCAGAAGCGTTCTGCGTTGACACTGACCCCTGCCCCCTCCCTTCCCACCTTCTATAGCGTTTCTGCATAGTTGGCAGAGGCAACAACAAGGATAAGAAGCGGATTCTCAAGATCAACCGATCCGAGCCGTTGGTGCTGGTGGAGGATCCGACGGTGTACACCGCCTGGCCCTGCTCTGCACTGCTGCAGCAGCTGGCAGAGGGCAATCGCAGCTCCGGGGGCCTTCGCCTGGTCACCAAGGCCTATGGCATCGTTGTTGAGTGGGTGAAGAGCCGTGTAAGGGGTATGGGAATGCTGATGGGGGAGCCTTTGCCTGGTCACCAAGGCTTATGGCATCGTAGGTAAGTGGGTATTTTGGTGAGTTGGTGAGCTGGCAAGGAGGCTTATATGGGGTATGGAACTGCTGATGGGTGTCTGTATTGAGTCCGGCTTGAAACAATCAGCTCGAGAGGCCTTCGCCTGGTCACCAAGGCCTATGGCATCGTTGGTGAGTTGATGAGGAGGCTTATAAGGAGTATGGGACTGCTGACAAGCAAGCCAAGCTAAGGCGTGTAAACCGTGGCGGCTTGGGGCGTGGGTGATTCTCGAGGCGCTTCAAATGTCGGCTTCATGCTTGTCTGTCTGATCTGTTGTGATCGCTTGGATTCTTGCTCCCTCCCCCATTTCCCGGGGGAGTTCCCCCATTTCCCGGGGGAATCCCCCCCATTTCTCGGGGAAATTCCCCCAATTTCTTGGGGGAATTTCCCCCATTTCCTGAGGGAATTCCCCCCATTCTCCACTAACGTGTGTGCACACTTCCCGGAGCCATGGCACCTGATTCTGGTGCGGCCACTGCTGCCTCTTCCTTTCCCCCTCCCTCCCCACCTCCCCCCTCCCCACGTCCCACATCCCCCACCTCCCTCACTTCCAGGGTGTGTGCGCTTCCTAGAGCCCAGGTACCTGATTCTGGTGTGGCGGTGGCGGCAGGTGGGGTGCAAGAGGGGGCATGCGGTGTTCCGCATAGAGGAGAGTCTCGTTCTCACCGTGCCTCACTCCAGCATGCACACGAGCGTGGCTTCCAGCACCATGGAGCAGCGGTGAGCAGCGGTGGAGAGCGGTGAGAAGCTGCTAGGAACGGTGGAGAGCACTAAGAAGCAGTGAAGAGGGGTTAGGGAAGGGTGCAGATGTGTGAGCCTCACCTCACCCCAGCATGCGGTATTCCACATTGAGGAGAGTCTTGTGTTAACTATACCTCATGCCAGCGTACACACGAGCGTGTCTTCTAGCACCATGGAGCAACGGTGAGCAGCTGTGGAGAGCGGTGAGGCACGGTGAGGGGCGGTGAGTAGCGGTAGCGAGTGGTGATGAGCCGTGAAGGAGGGATGCTTATGTGTGACCCTCACCCCAGCATGCAGTGTTCCGCCTTGAAGAGAGCCTGGTGCTTACCGTGCCTCATGCCTCCGTGCACACATACATGTTGCCTCTAGCACCATGGAGCAGCGGTCAGGAGTGGTGAGGATTGGTGAGGATTGGTGAGAGTAGTGTGAGTCTATTGACTCTTTTTTTGACACATCTCCCCATTTTTACAAATGGATCCCCGGCGATTTGACCTGGTTACACGGCATATTTAGGCAAACTGTTTATACAGCATGTATGAACACTATGTGCCTTTCATGGCGTCAGACTCAATATAGCATTTACCCGGATAGAAATCCAGGGTCATGTAGACATAGAAACCTTAAACTTATTCCTAATTTTTGTACGATTCAGAGTTCCTGCCAACCTATATTTGCAAGTCGAACAATGAAATAGCCACGATAATTCCTCTTTCGTTTTCAGCTTCTCAGCTGTACTAGTTTAAATTGTAACATTGGTGCTTGGGAATGGATGCAATTGGGTGTAGATTGTCTATGAATAATGTCTATGATCCCTCTTCTCACAAATCCAGAATAGACAGTTAGAACAATGAAGTTCAAAAATTGACTAAATCATAATATGCTTGCGAGTACTACCTTCAACGAGTTAAAGCCAGGGTCTCATATACCGAAAATTCTCATCAACTCCATAACATTTGACCGAGAGTTACCAGGTGGTGGTTTTAGCGAAACTCTGATTTGGCTTGGGAAACTGTGGGTTGCACAAGACACCAAACCAGAGTGCTAGCAGAGGGTTGCGACCCATTTTGTCACCAACCTGCGACACAACCAGAAAGCGCAGCCCAAGAAACTGCAAAACATTTTTGAAACCTCTGCCCCCACTGTTCTACCCTGGACCCCTTGTGTGCTCTCCCCGCCTCGATACCTCTGCCCCCATTGTTCTACCCTAGTCCCCTTGTGTGCTCTCCGCGGCTCGATACCTCTGCCCCCACGGTTCTACCCTGGTCCCCTTGTATGCTCTCCCCAGCTCGATACCTCACATTGTGTGGTAATTGTGAAATAAAATTTGTATACTTGTAGACGGTCCATATAAGCCACGAATCCGTGGTGAAAGATAGCGTGCCATTGTCGTGCAGCCAACATTCCGTCCATGACTCACGCAGGGCTCCGCTCACGCAGGGCTCCGCTCACACGATGAAGTGTGTAGGTTTACGGAGAGGGTTTCGGGTGGCACTTTCAAACACTGTCCCTCCCCCTCAGTCTCTACCCCTTTGCCTGTCCCTCCCCCTATGTCTTTCCCCCTGTCCTTCCCCCTCTATCCCTCCCCCTCTATCTGTCCCTCCCCTCTATCTCTCCCCCTCTATCCCTCCCTCTTTGTCTCTCCCCCTCCCTCCCTCCCCCTCTCTCCCTTCCCGTCTCTCCCACCCCCTCTCTGACCTCCCCTCAGTCCATCCCCTTCAGTCCCTCCCCCTTCGGAAGGAATGAGTGAGGGAGGCCGGGTTGGAAAGAGAGACAGAGGTTGGGGAGGAAGGGAGCGAGAGGGTGAAGAGAGGGAGAGGGGGAAGAGACAGAGAGAGGGAGGGAGGGAGTTAGGGATGGAGGGAGAATCCCAAAAATGAGGCGTTGGGTTCAGTAGGTTTCTAAAAGTCACCGTTTTGATTCCGCATGTGTTGAGGTATGTTTGTCGCAGGTCGGAGGTATGTTTTTTCACGAACGCAACTTACATGCAGCTTTTCAACTGGTTTGTTTCCTGACCTGTTGCTGTTCGAACGTTTCCTGTTTGCCGATCTACGTCAGGCTATCAGATGTGTGCGTTTGTTATTTTCGGTTCTCACCAGGCTTGGAGACGAGCCTCTTGTTTGGCGAACGTTTCCGATCAGCCGAAATTACCCTCGGTGCCGAAACACACCTCTGTTTTTGTTTGGTATATCAAACTTGTTTATGAATTACCAGTCATTGTTAGAATGACAAGATATTGATGTTAGCAGTGCATTGATTTTTTTTTTTTTTTTTTTTTTTTTTTTTTTTTTTTTTTTGCCAGCCAATAAGCGCTAATGTTAAGATGTGGTCTGATTTGGAAATGTTTATGTGGGTGAGGAAATATAGGGCTGTTGTTACTGATTTTTTTACATAGTGGGTATGTATGTATATTTGGTCGAAGTATTGTGCCCCTATATGCACAGACATTGACTATTACGAAACTACTTATGTTATGTAACATGCATATTCACTATATTGCACGTATGCCATCAAAACTTGGTGCCACTCGGACCATCTACTAGGAAGATTTGATGTTTCGAACAAGGATAGGCGTTGGCGATATTGTGAGAATTATACGAGGAATGAATGAACTAGGAAAGTGTTGGGTACAAATATGAAACCCTAGAAACCTGTACCCCTTAGTGTCTACCCCACTATAGCCTACAAAGGCTAAGTCATATATATCTGACACACCCCCATAGGCAAAGTGGGGGAGAACTAGGGGTCACAAGACCAGTCAAGCAAAGCAAAACAAGCTCAGGGTGGATCACAACGTCACCACACATTCCGAGCACAAGTTCAGAGGCCACAAGGCCAGTTCACATGCAGGATTATAAATCAAGGTGAACAGGCAAGACAGTGATCACAACCTAGCAAGGGTAAACATGCAGGTGCAAGTATATATAGATCACAGTACAAAGCAAAGTCAAGAGGTAAGCAAGTGAGGCCAGGTAGGCACAAGACCTAACATAGTACAGAAGCGCTGATGATCACAAGGCTGAAGTGCCTTGGTAAAGATATCAGCAGTGTTGGCCGGAGAGGCCACGTAAGCAAGGCGCAGCTGACCACGCTGCTGCAGCTCACGTGCAAGGAAGTAGCGAAGAGCAATGTGCTTCGTTCTGTGCTCCTGACACAAGGCCAACATGGCCTTGTTGTCTACGTACAGAACTGGAGGAGAACGAGGCGGCTCTCCCAGGTCGGTCAGCAGGTAGGTGAGCCAGCGCAACTCCTGTGCAGCCATGGCCCCTGCGTAGATCTCAGCCTCACAGCTGGAGCCGAGAACAGAAGACGAGCGGGTAGACTGCCACGAAACAGAGCCAGAACCAAGGCTGAAGGTGTAACCCTGTGACGACCGCTGCGTAGCCAAGTCGTCAGCCCAAGAAGCGTCTGCGTGACCAGTGAGGACAACTCTAGCCCGTCCTCCAAGCACGAGCCCCATGCCCGACGTACTGCACAAGTAGCGCAACACCCTCTTAGCAGCATCCATTTGCTCCTTCCTGTGTCGGCCAGGAGCGACATAGCGTGCTAGGATGCTAAGAGGGTATGCAAGGTCAGGTCGAGTGCAGGTCATCAGGTACATGAGGCAGCCCACAAGCTCTGGATACGGGCCACTCGGCTCTACGGACTCATCCGAAGGCAGAGCTGAGAGCGAGTGGCGCGTAGGCAGAGGAGTGGACTGTAGCGAGGAGTACGTGAAGCGGAAGCGCTGAAGGACCTGCTGCACCATGTGTGACTGAGTCAAGGTAATGGTGCACTGTGCTCTGTCCCGGGTGATCCGCAAGCCAAGATAGCTTGTCAGCTCACCCAGGTCTGTGCACGTGTGTCTCTTCTGCAGCTCCGACTTCACGTGGGCGAGTGCCTCAGTGTCAGCAGTAGCAAAGACCAGGTCGTCTACGTACACGAGAACGTAGAACGGCGGCAGAGTGGTGTCGGTGCGTAGAAACAGCGACGGGTCAGCAGTAGAAGGAGCAAACCCAAGAGCAGCAAGAGTAGTCCTCAGTGTGTCGTGCCACTCACGGGGTTCCTGGCGGAGACCGTAGACTGGCCGCCGGAGGCTCCACTGGGTACCAGGAGGAAACGACCCAGTGAAGCCAGGTGGGCGGTGCAGCCAGATCTCCTCGTGCAGGCTGCCCTGTAGGAAAGCAGTGCTGAAGTCAAGAGAGTGGAGCTCGTAGTCACGCTGAGCGGCGACGTGCAGCAGAACCCGAAGAGTGGTCATCTTCGGGGTAGGGGAGAAGTTCTGGAAGAAGTCAACTCCCTCACGCTGACTGAAGCCTCGTGCAACGTAACGCGCCTTGAAGACAGGCGGAGAACCCGGCGGCCGCTTCACCCTGAAAATCCACATGCCACTGACGATGTTCGCCCCAGGCGGGGGAACCTCGTCAACGTAGGTGCCTGTGGACTTCCAGGAAGCCATCTCTGCGTCCATGGCTGACTGCCACTGAGAGGAGTAGGGACCCTCTATCGCCTCTGCGTAAGAGCGCGGGGTCGGGATGTCTGGTGCATCCGGGTCTCCCTCAGGGGCAATCAGCATGGACACGAGATGAGGCAAAGCAGCGGCAAAGCACTCAAACTCCTCCTGTCTGTCCTCAAGGACGTCCGTGCCAAGAGCACACTCACCCCCGACGGACGGAGGACAGACAGACTCAGACTCAGCAACAAGGCTAGCGGCGTAGTCTAGACGACAGGCGGCAGCAAAGTCAACAAGCTCAGCAACTAGAGCAGACGCAGCAGTGGACTCAAAGGAAGGTTCAGTGACAACAGTAGCGAGAAGACGCGTGACAGTAGGACTGGCAGGGTTAGCAAGGTCTGACGGCGGGTCAGCAACGTCAGGAAGAGAGGACGCAGGAGGAGACGGCAGAGGGACACACTGTGGAGCAGTGGAAGGACGCAGAGTCATATAGTGAGTGCCAGGGATAGGAGGAGGACGCTCAGGCGGAACACGACGACCAGTGCGGACAGCGCGGACAGGCGACTCTGGACGA